CTGAAAGGTATCTCTAGTAGCAGATAGAAGAAGGATTGGAGAAGAGATTGAAGACAGGAGGATCAGTGAGGAGGGAAGAGACGATGAAGATGTGACCTAAGGGACTTGAGGTGGGACCAGAATGTGGCTCAGTGGTCCTCAGCCAAGGGGCACAGAGAGTCACATGGGAACCTTAAAAAGAATATGATGTCTAGGTCCTACTCAAACCCTTCCATATCTCTCGACAAAGCGTTCTGTACACTTTCTCTCCTGTAGCTATCTTACTCTGTAATGCTACCGGTCAGAACCTCAGAGTCCCCTGCGTGGTCAGTTCGTTGTTGGACATAAACAAGGGCATAACCATTCGCACAGAATTTCCTCTTCACTTCCTCAGTAAATTGAGATGCAGAGCCATATGGCAGTTTACCTTAACCGAATAATTTCATCTGTTCTCAGATGAATCTAGCCAATGAATCTGTCTGCAGTGGACAATCTTAATGTTTCTGCAGAGGAATCAAAGGTGGTGTTTTTGTTTGCAGACCAAAGTGCTTGTCAAAAGGTGCAGTCTTGATGGATCCTAATTACATAAGATGCACTTCAATTTATGTAGTTAGTTCTTGGTGACTTGATGCGTGCCGTGTGGGTGATTTGTATGCAAGACTCAAGAAATGGGGTTAAAGATGTTTTCAACATATAAGTCTTATACTATTTAAGATATTTAAATAAAGTCATTAGGATAACACACAAATATAAACATATCCAACCCAGCATGGCTTTCCTCCCTTTTGTTTTTAAATTATTTTATTTTACAGTACATGATGGCACAAAAGAGACTTACAAGGTTTGCAAGGAATAATACGAAGATATACATGAGTTTCTTGTTTTACTCTGATTCGCTAGATGATATTGGGTTTCAGAATGATGTTCTATTTAAATGTGATGAAGTATCTTCTTCAGTAATAGTTTATTGGCTATTTTAATCGAATAAAATAATCTTAAGAATGCGTTAAGATCAATATATATGTTATATATACAAAAATATGTCTTCAGCCTTTCTCTCCTTCTATCCAAATGGGAGTCATTAGATATATTTAGTGTTTCCATGAGCTATGTGATTAACAACTATAGCAAAATATGTTAGAGAAGATTATCTTCGAAGGTTTTCCATCAGTGGTTTAATTAACATACAGTGGACAGAAAACAAACAATCTGTTCAACCAGACAATTCAGAGATCCCTCCTGTTGCTTTTGTTTTCACTGCAGCTGAGAAGGGAAAAATTATATTACATATATCCCTTCATCTTGTTTATTAATTATTTGTTTTGATGGTGATTAAAATATTTTATGAGTTTGAACTGTATAGGGATGATTTACAATGTTAGATAACCAGGCTGTGGTTTTGCCAGTTTTTCTCAGTCTGTATTTCTGTAAAACATCCATTTTTGATTGGTTTTATCTTCTTTAAAAATCATTCTGAAATGGGGTCAAAATCTAAGCCAATTTCATACCGCAGTCTTGATGAACCATGCACTACCGAATTATGAACATAAAGGAATGTTTCATCTATGCATGATCAGATAGTTTTGCTTATTCATTACAAAATCAGAGAGAAAGCATTTGGTTTCAAATAGAACGGAAAGAAAATTCATGGAAGCCAGGCCCTAAAGCTCACAAATTTTCTAAGTAGAAAACCCTCAGGTCCTTCCTTAAATCCCATTTACTCTGTAAATACAATTAGAGCCAGCAAGTGATGGAGACAAAAGAGTCAATAGCTATAATAGCTGTTAATGTGACAATAAAGCCAGAGAGAAAAAAATTATAAAACACTGATAAGAAAATTAAAAAAACAAAAACAAACAAACAAAAAAACACCCAAACACCACAGCTGTCTGGGGTCTTACCCTTGTAAGTGCTACGGTAAGCATTTATTCTTGTTTCGTTCAGTAAGCCTGAATTCTGGTTTCATACGGGAGGCTTACCTGTCTATTAAATTTACCTTCTGCAGTAATCCTGCTAAACTAGGACAAGTTTGAATGGTCACTGCAATAACAAGAGTTTAACCCATTAATCATACTTCCCAATCTTCAACTTAAGTGGTATTAAAAGATAAAAGTGCAGCATATTCAAATTTTTAAGAGTTTATTGAGCAAAAATCGGTTCCAATGAGGCAGCGCCAAACCAGAAGCACTTATAAGCATTCCAAGGGTAGGGACTAGGGGAGAGACTTTTGTGGAGCAAGGAAACTCTTTGATTGGCTACAGCTTCAGCATTTGTCTGATTCAGAAAAGATGCGTTGGGCGTTTGTGACTGGCGATCCTTAGATTTTGACTTCTTAACCTCGAATCATTTACACGCTTAGGTTTGGGCTTACGTGGGCTACTAAGGTATTGAACTACCTAGGTCTAATGGCCTCCTTGCTTAATTAATTAACAGTGGGGAATATGGGATGGATCATCCCAAGTTTGGGATCTGTTTTTTCTTTGTCCTCTAGGGTGAAAAAGCATGGAGACTAGGAGAAAGGGGACGCAAGGAAGTCGAGAAATAGACTTTCTATGCAGACGGCTCCTCCGGTGTAGTTGTTTGGTGTTCTGCCTTCCCTGGGCCAGGACCACAGGGCTAGTGTGACATCACTGGCCTAACAGGCATCTCGGAAAGTACTGTATGTTGTCGTGTGCTGTCAATATCTAAAAGGATAACAATAAAATTAATATCAGGCAGTTAATACCCAACAATAAGACCCATTTAAAAGAAACCCAAAGTTGCTTTGAAATTCCGTTTCGAGGATTTTGGGAAACACGAATTCTCTGAAGTTTTCGGTGTATTTTTCCTGATTTACACTATAGAGAACTGACAAACCTCTGGTTCAAGCCATTCCTTTTGTGTTATTTAAAAAATATGTATTTTTATATCCAAGACTGTTTAATTGCATTACATTTGCTTCATTTCTTATATATAGGTTGACATGCTAATAAGGACCCTGTATAGATTTTCAGTTGTTCTTCCATGATTATTGATATTCAAGTGGCCACCACCCTGAGTGCAAGGCAGATGCACAACTCTAAAGTTAACCTGGGTGCTGTGCTAGGAGGTCTTACTCTGGTGGTTGTAAAACTTTTATTGCTTACTTTTGTTGTAAGCTGCCTCATATATTTTTGGTAATGAGGCAGGATATATAAATAAAGGATATAAAATTGCTTTTTATAGCTTTGCCTAGAATCATAGGTCTTAGAGCCTGACACGTCCTCAGGAAGAGCTAGCTGCTTTTGCAGGTAGGATATTTTCATTCCCATTTAAAATATAGGATAACTAAAGCATAGAGAGTTTTGTAAATTATGCTGAACTTCATATCCAGCAAACCGATCGGAAAGAACGGCACCCCCGGTCTCCTAGATCCTTGTAAAGTGTTTCTTCCATTACTTAATTCTGTCTGGTCCTGTCATTCTTGCTCCAACGAGACTCTACAGTTAATTCGCCCATTCACTCATTCATTCATTTCACACACATTTATTGAGCCCCGTTCAATGGCCAGTGGGAAAGACAGTGTTAAAAGAGAAACATTTTCTATAGTGGAGGGTGGGAGGGGACCACGATCAACCCTTTATGTACGTGAGGTTTTTCAGTCCTACAATGGGTCTATGAATTGAACACAGCACTACATTTTTCTGGTTTTCAGGTTCTTCTCTGTGGAGTTCTTGGCCATTTCCATCTCCATCTTTTAAGCAGGTCTTTTAAGCTCTGCTATTCTGCAATGCCATGGAAAAGTCTAGATAGCTGACACTATACCAGGGCTTCTCTCTGGGCTCTATTCACTACGGCATCAGACAGTGGGAGATCTCTTAAGTTCACAGAGGAATAAAAAAAATAACCTCTCTGTCTAGATAAATTATTGGCCCTTTTTTGAGTTGAAAGGAAGGTATTTTCGGCCATTTACCTGTGATGAGTACTGATAGCCTTCTCTTATTTATTAGAGTTCTAAGTAGCCGATCCAATGGGACTATAAGTCACACGAAATACATTTGGGTGTCTTAGAATGTTCTTATATTAAGGGGAACATCACAGACATAATTCAGTCATCCTTCAGCCCTGCCACTTCTAAAGCCTGACAATTCATATCTTTTGGTAATAGTTGCTTAGGAGAGGGCTGTTCTTCTTAATCAGAAGCTGACTTCCCCATGCTCGTGCTCCATCTTCCCCCACTGACCTACTGAGATGAAAGACTGGGAGTAATGATTAAATCTAATTTTCCCTCCTGTAGTAGCACGATGAGCTGGGTCAGCAAGGCCAGTGCCTGCAGATGGCTTTCAAATACCTTTGTGATTTGATCTCCCTGCCTTCCCAGCCATTTCTCTAAGTGCCTGTCACTGCCCTTCTTTACCATCCTGATAAGATTCCAAAGTGAGAACAGCACAAACGAACAAGAGCATTTGCGGTGCCTCCTAAGGATGTTCCTTATTAAATGAGTTAGGCAGCGAACCAAGTTTGACTTATGAGTGCGAGGCAGGGTTAGCACATTTACATGGAGATCGTTCCGTGTACTGTTTAGCCCGTTCAAACAGATTGTTGACTCTTTGCTGCTCAGTGTAACTCGTGAAATGCGTATAAGCTCACAAGTTAACAATGTCTGACTTTCACTTTCAAATGTACTGAGAATCGCTTGGTTTTCAGTCCTTTATTTGGATTGTAGCCTGTTTTCTCAGAACAACTGGGAAATGTTTATGAAGGGTGTGTGTGGAGGGCAGGGAAGGAAGGGAATAAAAATCCTTTGCTTTAGGGCAGCACATCTGTTTTAGGGACCGCATCTCTGCACATTCGCCGTTGTCACGACTTACGCTATGTCCTAAAATTGCATCCTCCTCAGAGACGCGCATGCCAACTAGAAGTATGACAATTAAACAGATTTCACTGTTATTCGTTAGTTTTCTGTTTTCATGACTAGCAGAATTCTTTTCTCTGCCGAAGTCGATAGCATGTATATGATTCGTGGCAAGTAGTAACTCGTCACCTTACTTCTTTCCAAACAGATTGGCAATATCAAAGTTCCCAGGCCTTCCTACGAATGGAAGAGGAGGTGGAAGTGGACACGCACGCCTTCAGCCACCGCTGGAAAAGGAGCCTGGATTCCCTCAAGGCGGTGGACACAAACCGAGCAAGCACGGGCCAAGACTCCCCAGAGGCCAGAGGCTTCACACACCTGCTCTTGGACGATGGGCAGGACAATGCCACCCAGATTGAGGTGGGTAAACGATCTGGGGAACTAAAGTGGACTAATGGATATATTTCTTATAAGGCACCCAACTTGCGCGCGCGCGCGCGCACTCACACACACACACATACACACACACGTGCTGTCTCTTCAGCTTTGGACTGTTTTTTTTTTTTAATAAGAATCAATTTAATTCATTAATAAATAATTTGTTAATATTCAGTAATTCAATAATAATAATAACTCCGTTAAATAAGTCGCTAAGCCATTTAATCACCCACAGATCCATTTACTCTCGAAACGGATAAATGTGAAGATGAATACGACACAGCTCCTGCCTGCCAGGGATTTATTGTGTAAGCAGGTCTAAGCGCCATAATCAGATCATGCCTATGCCATGTGATAGGTACAAAATAATATACAGGCCGTAGCGTGGCAAGCGCCGAGGAGGGAGTGATCACCTTTTTGTGGCGTGAGGGGGTGGGCTGTTGACAAAGTAGTGGGCACTGGGGCAGGGCGTTGGCAGGTGGGGCGGAGCTTACCGGGCGGATGACCTGTCCATGGTGAAAGGGAAGATTCCTGGCACAGCGAGTCACGTCTGCTATGGCCACAGAGTCTCACAGGGTTGCCAACTGCCCTGGTTTACCCAGGACTGAGGGGTTTCCTGGGATGTAGGACTTTCAGCTAAAAAACGGGGCAGTTCTGGGCAAACCAGATGGTTGGTCACTCTGTGGCCGTAATTCTTTATTATGGTCGGAGCCATGAAATGGAAGAAGGATGGTCACACTTGGGTTCGGCGAGTCTGGAAGTTTGCCAAGGGCACGTTTTGGGCTGATGTAATCATTGCTTAAGTTTCCATCGTCCGTAGCATTGCAAATCATAAAATACGATCTTGATGAATATATGAATAACGAACATATTCATTATTCATATGATGAATATGATCTAGATGTCACAAAAACGAACAGGCAAATCTTATGAAAATAAGCAAAACCACCCAAATGAGAACAGAGGCTGTTTGTTCCGTTTGTTCTAGCCAGGGACTCAGCCTCCATCACTAACTTGCCTTTGGTGGACACTCAGAAAGGGTGAGGGGAGTGGGAAAGTTTTTCAGTTAAAAAAGCAGTTTCAGGGATGCTCTGGTTGGTGATTGTTGGCCTGGAGAGTCTAGAAGTGGGCTGGCTGGCTCCCTGGACTGGTTGCTGTAGAGGTTGGGGTCAGAGTCTCGTTGTTATCCACGGTGTGGCCATTGTCCGTTTGTATATTTTCTTGCAACCTGAAGTTTTGGTTCCTACTTTCTTCCAGGAACAGGCTTAAGACTTACTAAAAACTAGGCAGCATTCTTTTGCCTGCCCTGAAATAGTTGTTCTTTGGGAAAAGAACTCAGTTTCATGAAACAGATCCTGCGCGATTCCGCAAATAGGATAAAGGCATCATTTGTTTCCTCATTAGTGAGAGGACTCTTCAGAAGATCCGAAGCATGGGCCATGGGGATTCTGTGATATGTTGGAAGCCCAGCAATTTTCAAAAGCCCTCTCCATCTTTTTCACGAGTATGTGACTCTGGTGCTCCCTGGCTGCCTCAGCCAGGCCCCTCAACAGGCAGCGCAGGATGTGCCAGGAGCACAAGTCATACAATATCTATAAGTGGCTACTCTGGCTCCTGCAGAGTGCCTGCTATTTTGGCAACTATGTTGTTATAGCAACTCAGGGTAGGCAACATATTTCTTCCCTGAGAAGCTCTTTAGGGTGCGACATAAAGAAAGGAGAGCTACACAGAAGCAGAGGTGTTTACTCTCTGCCCAGACCTGTACCCACCGAGATTGAAAGGGGGAGCAGAGATTCCTAGAAGTCTGTCATCTCTTTGCAGGATGCCGAATTATTCTAATCAAAATGAAAAATGCCTTTGCTCAGGGATTTATTAGCACTCTTCAGAATACCACTCCAGTCATTATTATAGCTGATTTTGTTATTCAGCCAATTTTTTTTCCTATTCTCCCTTAACAGAGGCTGATCACATCGTGTCAGTAATTTTAAATCGGTAAAAAAAAAAAAGGAGGAAGGATGGTACAGGATGCTGTTTGCTGGGTACTCACTCGGAGCCGAGATCTGCCAGGTGTAGCATGGATACCATTTTACTTGGTCCTTATATCAGCCTGGAGAGATGTGCATCCCCAGGTTCTCTGGATAATCTCAGTGACTTTTTACATGAGGGCCATTTCAGATTTAGGTTTAGTATTTTTTCTAAAGACTCCCGTTCATGAGTAAAATGGCTGGTATTCCAACTCAGGCCTGCCCAGCTCCTAAGGTTTTAGGCTTTCTACTTGACTTTGCTTTGTCTAATAGAGAAGGAAAAATAAGTGGCAATTTGATTATGTAGTGATTTCGGCCGATGGCAGCATGCAAATATCAATATGAAAGTAACACCGGGGTTTCAGTCAGGTTGGGAGGGGCCTTGTCTTGCTAAATGGGCACAAGAGGACTGCTTTTATTTTAAGAGTTTATTGATTTTGACGAGGGGTGGTCGATGGAGATTTTGGGGCTCTGAAGTCCCATAAGTCATTCTGGAAACAAAAGCTTACATCTGACACTTCTCCGCTTAAACGTTTATTTATCTCGGCCCTTGAAATAGCATTTTTAAACATTTTTTGTACCTCTTTTGGGGAAAATACTTTCGCTGGATTGAATTTAACAGAAAGAAAGAAACAAAATGGTTACAGAGTGACTACTCTGTGCTGGACACCGTGACAAAATCTTTCTTTTAGGAATAAGCATTTTGATTTATATTGCTAATTACAAGCAACATAGTGAGCAAAAGACCACATGCGCTTTTCATTTAGATGCTTCCAGCGTGTCAATGTGGAGCATCAGCATCATTTGGCCTGAGACCCTGGCTGTAGTAGTAGCTGCTAAAATAATTTGTGTCCCTGTGAGACTGAGACCACCCTGAAGGGCATCCCTGAAGGGCACATTCTCCTCACTTCCGCCTCCGTCTAGACTTCATATCCCACTATCACTAAACAGAAACAAAAGGCAATAGCATATTTACTACTTGGGCACAAATTCGTTATGAAACAAAGATTGCTATTCTCTGAAATTGGTGACAGTATTTCTTCTGGCCTCTGCACGAGAACAGATAATGGGGGGGCGGGGCAGGAGGGGGGTCGTGTAGAATTTAGTATGCCAGCTAAAGAATTCTTCCAGTTGAAGTTTTTCTTCGTTGTTGGTATTGCTGATTTTTTTTTTTTTTTAATATTCTTCCCATAATGGTATACTTACATTTCCTGTTGAATAAGCAGGGACGCAACAGTTAGCAAACGCCACTTTGATCTGAAAGTTGATTTATGTGAGACTTGTATTTTCTCCATCCACGTGGACAGGTAACCACTTAGATAAGGAACAGTGGCTTCTGATTAGTAGGCGTGAAGAGTGAGGTGTCTTTAAGCAGCCACTCGTGTGCTACTTTTTGTGATTATTTTGGGAGTCTAGGAGCTTTTAGGACTTTGAGGTAGGATTGAGTTCCATTCATGATTCAGCCTTGTTTGAGCAGCTTTCAGCGGGCACCATGATCCTGGGGTTACATGCATGGACGAGCAGCAAAGATCTGCTGGCTGCTCTGCTGTTTCCTGGCACAGAGATCTCATCACATCAGTGGTGCCTTATAGAAGGGAGCGAGCCTGAGCAGTGTTTGGTGAGAATAACAGATTTGCTTAAAGCTCAGTTTCATCATCTTATTCCCATGTAACAGTGTTGGTAACTTACAGTTCTTCGCTTTACAGAAATCAATCCCAAATTTCTAACACACCAAACCAAATATATGCCACTTATTCGCATGCAATATTTAAAGCTTCATATCCCTTCTCTTAGGACAAAGAAAGTGTTTTTGAAAAGGATTATCAAGTGTGATTTTTTTTTTTTTTGCCTTGATCGAAAAGCACCTGGATAACTTGAAGAAAGGAAGATTTAAAACTAGATTTTATGGCTTACCTATAAGTTTAGCATTATGATCCAAACTGACTTAGAAATTGTGAGCTTGACCACTGCCTCTCAGGCGATGCAGATGTGGCTAGACCACAGGCCACACTTGGAGTTGCAAAGAGAGCACAAAGCAGATTTAGCGAGCGGTTTTGAGGATATGCGTGTTCTGAAAAATCTATATTTTAAATCGAATGGCTTACCAACAACGTGTCGCATGAATTTCTCATTCTGATACCAAATTAAAAATCGCAGGCATACCCAGCGATCGCTGTATCATCTGTGTTCTCCTTGAGGCTGTCAGCCAAGGAAGGTGCAGTTGAAAATGGTCACCAAGTATGTGTGATAAATGTGGCTAAACACTAAACCAAACACTAGATAGGGGTCCACCATTTTTCTGCTAAATGTATGAGAAACCCTCTTTGATCTTTCTTGTTGCATACATTGTTGGTTGTGTGCACATCTTATTTTTACAAATTGTATACACTGTGTTTCTTTAAAAAGTTAGCGGTTGCTAGTTGCTGCACACACATAGTTTTTGTGTGTGTTCTGATATTTTATTTCAGTCCCTAATGAGGTAATCCACTTGAAAAGAAAGAAGTCACTGGCAAATACTTAATCTAAAAAACAGCGTGCTTGCTTTGATGATTATTTTACAAAGAACATGGCAAATTCCATAACGTCGCATGTGGGCAGAATGCGCGTGTTATGTTTGCAGTATAGAGAATCATCAAAATATTCTCAGGTAATGAAAATCCTACTGCTCGTGTATCTCAAGGCTAAGTAAGCTTTCTCCACTTCAGAGATCTGACAATAACAGTCATGAATATAAATACAAGGTAGTAATAAGACACATCATCCCATTTGCCAGAGATAAAGTAATAAAAACTTGTAGAATATTGCTGTCCTGGTTCTTGCCTCAGGTTGCTATTCTGCTTATGAACTCATAGAAGAGAATACTTACATATGAGAAGAGTATTATCATGCAGATTTGTGACATTTTTCAAAAAGAAAGAAAAGTTGCACCTGATACCGAACAACTCTGTTACTATGTTT